GTTTCCGATCACTGTCAGTGGCATGGGGCTTCTTCCTGCTTTCCCCTTTGCCTCCCTGCATTGTGCCTACATATGCAAATTAACCACCATTTTGTTGTCAGTTAACTGCCATCTGAGTTGGCAGTTAATTTGCATATAGCCCTGATTAGCCAATGAAAAGGGTATCGTCGTACGCCGATTACCATTTTTCTCTTTTATTATATAGGATGCTGTTACAAGCAGCACAGGTGAACAAAGGCTACCTGGGAACTGTGGGTGCAGATGAATAGTGGAAATGCCTGGAGAGAGCTGGGGTTGACCAGGCTCAAGTTTGGTTTTCTCTTGATCCAGTGAAGGTATTTCCTGCATGGTTGAATTAGAAAGACAGAAAGAGAACTGAAAGTAAGAATTATTTTTCATTTGCACTTATACCTATTTTTATTTAATTAATTGTACTCTTACAAAGGCAGCAAATGTTATAGTACATTAGATATAAACCTGTGCAATTGTGTATTTTTTTTTAAATGAGCTACTACCACTGTGCCACTATATGGCAAGCTGCTGAGTGTCTCCTGCAGTGCTAACCCAAGCACACACGCTCACCCATCTTCAAGGGCCGAGAGAAAAGGGTCCCTTCAGATGTGCGAAACCACTGCCTTGTCTCAGGGGCCCACACTTGGTCTAGAACAAAAAAAACCCTGAAGAAGAACTAAACCGTCACCTCATTCACATGTAGCTCTGCCCCAGATTAGATAATGGCTATAGCAGATGTGTCATAACAAAACACACAATATTAAATAGTGTTATGCTGGTCAGTCATTATGGCCGCCCTTAACCTCACATCTAATAACTTGGCACCTCCAGGTCTCCCAGTAAGGAGAGTCCGGCAGAGAAATAGAAAGGCAGAGCCTGGGAGGAGGGCCCCAGGCTTCCTGTGTCCAGTTGCCCACTCCCGTCCCCTGGACCACAAGCAAAGAAAGAGACTCATGATCAGTTCCAGTTCCAGCTCCTTAGGGCTCATGCAGACTGAGCTTGGGGCTTGTTAAGCATCTGTGACCTCATCCACACGTGTGGGGCCAGGGTGCTCCTTTCATCGCTTCATTAAAAGTATTAATCAGCCGAAACCGGTTTGGCTCAGTGGATAGAGCGTCGGCCTGCAGACTGAAAGGTCCCAGGTTCGATTCCGGTCAAGGGCATGTACCTTGGTTGCAGGCACATCCCCAGTGGGGAGTGTGCAGGAGGCAGCTGGTTGATGTTTCTCTCTCATCGATGTTTCTGACTATCTCTCTCCTTTCCTCTCTGTAAAAACTCAATAAAATATATTTTTTTAAAAAAAGTATTAATCAGGTTACTCGCTCACTGTTACCCTACACAGTCCCTCCCCCCATTTATTATTTTATAATTACACTAGAGGCCCGGTGCATGAAATTCATGCACTGGAGGGTGGGGGTCCCTCAGCCCAGCCTGTGCCCTCTCATAGTCCGGGACACCTCGGGGGATGTCTGACTGCTGGCTTAGGCCCAATCCATCCCTCTCGCAATCTGGGATCCCTCACTTCTTACCGCCCGCCTGCTCACTCCTTACCACTGGCTCACTGCTCCTTAGCGGCAGGCTCCTTACCGCTCAGCTGGCTGCTCCTTAGCACTGCCTCTGTGCTCACCAGCCATGAGCCCAGCTTCTGGCTCCCCCTGTGGGAGCGCACTGACCACCAGGGGGCAGCTCCTGCATTGAGCGTCTGCTCCTGGTGGTCAGTGTGCATCATAGTGACCAGTCGTTCCAGTCATTCTACCATAAGGGTCACTTGGGCTTTTATTATATAGATATTCTTTTTATTTACTGTTCACCTTACTCGCAGCTTTCATTTTACACTAACTTGGAGGTGTTTTTTAAAAAAATAGAGAGACCTAAATCTTCTCTTGAAATTGTCTTTCCTTTTGCTTTTATAACATAACTCCTAATTCTCCAACTATTTTGACACTTTGTTCTCATCCTCTTTCAATACAGTTGACATTCAATATTATTTTATACTATTTCAGGTGGACAGCATAGTGGTGAGACATTATTACATTCTCTCCCCCTTGCTTTAATTGCTGTCATCCTCTAGAAAGCTTACTCCCCGGGACTCCATGTCCCTTTCAGCCTGTCTTCTAGTTTGAATTACCCCTTTCCTACTTTTTATAGGAAAATAGATATCTTGCCTGAGTATCCCATCAAAGATCCAATTGTGTAGGCATGATTCTTTATAGGGTAACTCCATTTAGGTATTCCACAAATCCTTTGAGTCCACCCCTTCCAAAACCATCCAGTGTGTCATCTCAACTTCATCTCAGACAATGACACAATCATTAACCCACCAGGTTTAAAGTCACTTTTTAGTCCTCCCTCCTTCATTTCTCATCCCAACCCCTGCCCATTTGCACTATTCCTTCTATTGTCCATCCTTTTCCATATCCATGGCCCTCACTACCCTAAGTCTGGATTCACTCTCTGATTCTCAGTTTATTCTAATATTTACTTGGCCTCTCCAGCGTCCTCTTCCTCCCTCTCTCAGTCAATCCTGCTGTGATTTATCTTTTAAAAATACTGAGCACTTAGTACTTTTTCCCACTGCTTAAGAACACAGAGTAGCTTTCTATTACCTATTTAAGCTGACCTCAATCAGTTTCAATTGCACCTCAATCCCTGCAGCCCATGGTCAATGCCAGCAAGAAGACCATCAATCCACTCCCGCAGGTAACAGACAGAATCCCCCTACTGACATGGGCAGCAGCCTCCCTCACCAATGCCACCTCACCCCTGGACAGGTGGGGTCCAGCTGGGGAGCAGAGTACTTCCCCACTGCTGACAACTGCAGACTGGTATCCCACGCCTCCCAAAGTCTCTCTTTCTAACCCGTCTCTCATGCTCCCCTCACTGACCTCTTGCTGTCCCAGCCACACCTTTGCACATATAACTTCACACCCACGACCACCCTGCTTTCTTTTCATCAATCTTCAATATCATGAGGCCCTCTGCCAGGAGTTAAGACCACATGGACTCTGGTTGCATTTTTTCCCACTGCTGCTTTTCCAAATTAATTGCAGCAAGAGTAGATAAGAAAATGCTCGGGCCCTCTTTTAGATTCCTAATGAAAGGTAGCATGAACTCAACCATAAACAGAGAAGAACAAGCCTGCGATAAGACGAGGCTGGGAGGGGGGTATTGGGTGCTATCACTCTAAAATCACTTTTTTTTCTGGATTCTTTCAGCATGTATGCTATTCTATCCCATGCTCATAAGATAAAGATTTTTAGAACTATAATAATTGACATATGTATTTGCCCAATCTAAATGTGAATATTTACTGCAGTCTTGTCAACTAAATAACTATAAATGTATAAACATTTATTCATTACCTCACTGTCATGTTATTATCCAGAATTAAAACAACATTGAGACAAGAATTAAAAAGTGCATCACTCAATACTTATGCACCATATGAATATACAATTACATAAACCCGTCAGATGCTTTCTTTTCATAGATGGTCCAGGCCATAAATTGACTCCTTGAATTCTGTTTTAAGCCCTGGTTCCTATTAGTCCCGTCATTTTCTTCCCCTGGAATTTAAGTTCCATGAAGAAAATAAATTTTGTCTGGTTTTTCGCTCTATTGTTTTCCTAGCATTCAGAATACTGCCAGCCATACAGTAGGTGCTCACTAAGTATTTCTTGAATTAATGAATGAATGAATGAATGCCATTTCTTCCAACCAAATATGAATATACATGTTACCGTATTTAAGCTTTAAAAACACATACATATTCCAAAAGGAAATCATTGTGAAGTTAACAGGAAAAAAAGAGACTTGTAAACAATGAATAAATTACCTTCTCAGGGGGTGCAGTTGCCACTAAAACCAGAAAAGAAAGGAGGACATTAGTAAAATTTAAAACAATCTACTACATAATATTTTAAGTTTTAAAGTGCAATAGAAGTTCAATATGTCTCCAAAAGGATGAAGAATCAAACTAAGTCAAATGCAGAATTATGGCCACTACTATTTTGGATATTACACACGGCTGACAGGGGAAAATGGTCAGGGCTATGTCATTCCTCAATTACAGGAGGTCAGGTCACAGATGTGATTAAGTTCTTTCCATGTCCCTCATTAACTAAAAATGTTAAAGGAGGCAACCCTTTCTAGTACATCATTTTATGCCTAATCTCAATTTTGTAGAACATTCCGTATTTTAGAAAACAAACATTTCCTTTAGTTGTTCATACTTATCCTTAACATTATATAATGTTTGAAATGCTTTCTGATGTCAATGTTAAGAAAAGAATGCCACTATTTCAATGAGACAAGAATAGGTGCTGCATTCCTGATGCATATGAATTCTTAATGAAGCTCTGTGAGCATTTCCAGTAAGATATGCTAATGAAATTTTGGGGGAAAATCACAAACCAATAAGATCCAATGACTGATTAGCACCAATATGGTAAACAAATTACATATTACACAATCATAAACATTACCAAAGGGTGAATGGTTATACCTTTGTATTTTGAAAGGCTTGCTTTTCATTAATCATTCCTTAAGCCTTAGGTGAACATTCACCAACCTTTTTTCTCATGAGGCAATGTCTCAGTTACATTAGTATACAAGTTTGGTAGATGCATTAACTCCTAAAAGCAATCAGATACCAGACTGCTACCACCGCTGCAATATTCTTGTGATTGAAAAAAAACCCAACTAACATTCTGTCCTGCCTGATCCACCATTAAGAAATTCTTGAGGCAGAGCCTGGACCAGAGCCAATTTTCTCCTGCTTACGCAAAGGATGAGGGGTTGCAAACACCTGGCCATGACACCCCAAGTGTATAGGAGCAAACTGGTCAGCACTGTCAACTCCAGGTGAGGTCCCACTGCTCTGCCTAACCAAGAAAGAAGTGCAGCAAGAGGAGGAGTGGAATGGAAGAGGCTAGAACACACGAAGGTTCAGAGCCCTGCAAAAAAGACACCTCGACCAGGGAGGAGGTCTTGCCAAGCCCCCAAGTCTTCATTAACCTATGGCACCTTCTCTCCTTACAAAATCCATAAATGAGCACCCTGAATTCTGACCTAAGACTCAAGTGAGAAAAGCCAACATCAGCTTTATTAGAGCCAATATATATTCATCCAAACCTAAGATCTGTGTTCCTTTTTTGGGGGGAGAATTTTTGTAGTAACAGATATTCAAAGTATTAGATATGCTGGTTTATATTAAGAGACGGAGACAGAGATAATCTTCTTTGTCAAAGCCAGGGAGATAGTCAGTGTCAGCTGTCTCTAGGCTCCCTCTGGAGTGTAAGGCCTAAACCACTTCCCTGGAAAAACATGCTCCCTGGTCCCATCACCTACTCTGTGCGTGACAACTGGCAAGTCGGGTCCCCTCTCTAGGTCTCAGGTTTCCCATAATGTAAATCAAAGGACTGCACTAAGTGGTCTCCAAGATCCTTTTAATTGACCCTGTCCTTCCTCCCCTCAACCCGGACTGCCCGTCGGACTTTATTTCATGGACGCTCCCTTGATGCTTTAACTTTAAGCCTATGGATTCCATTTTTTAAAGTAAGTAAATATTTATGAAACGGCCCTCTAGACACAGAAATGAATGTGGGCTATTCTTTGGGGGATCTAGCACTCTCCAGGACTAAACACCAAGAAAAAGGGGCCCCAAACACACGACTATGTCCTGAGATTACCTTGGAATATTGTTACCTGCTAGGTCCATATGACTCTAGAGCAGTGGTTCTCAATCAGGGGTAATTTCCCCCCCACCCCTACTCCAGGGACATCTGGAAAAGTTTGGACACCTTTTTGGCTGCAAGAACGGGAAGGGAGAAGGTGCTACTAGCATCTCGAGGTCAGAGGCCAGGGCTGTTGCTAAACATCCTACAGTGCACAGAGCAGCCCCCACATCCAAGAATTATCCACCCTCAGAGTCAATAGTGCGAAGGCAGGAAACCCCTACTCTGGAAGGGCACAGACAGGGAAACCAAAGCAAAGACACACGAGACAGATGGCTAGGTCCATGATCCATTTCCACTCTCACCTTCGGGCTCCGCCACTCCTGGCCCGTGTTCCCGGGAGAAAGTCAGGGCCTCCACTGGCTCTTCCTTGGCTGGGAGAGGTGGAGGATGAGTACTTTTAGCAACAGGTTGAGTGTTCTTTGGCTTGACAAATACAGGTCCTTTACCTACATGGTGATGGATTGGCCTGCGTCTATGAACGCCAGAAACCGTATAACCCATTCCACCAGGACAGATTTCCTTAAAAGCAGCTAGATTTGGGATGGGAAAATATTCCTTTTAAAAATCTAAAAGTGCAAACTGATACAGAGGAAAATATCATGATGAGTATCTCTTAATAAATCACTAATATAGTTACATTTAAAATCTTCAAAAACAGATGCAAAATGCTCGAATTTCTGTTAAACTTGCATATTTACAGAAAAAAACCCAACCCTTTTATTAAACATTTCTCCACCTGTTAATTTCTTATCCTACACAATCAGATTATATATATATAGCACAGAGAGCATATATTTTATATATCATTTGTATGTATCAGCAATAAATTAGGTGTTATATAATTAATATTTTACATATCACATATATTACACATATTAAGTATATGTAATATATTAGATTTGTATGTATAAAAGACACTATATAACATATCTTATTGGAGATGTGTGTAATATCAACAAAAATTGGGCTTTTTCCCTTCTGCTATGGGTTAATTTCATTGATTATTAACAAGAAACTCAGTAATATCTCTCTAAATTAGATGATGGGCAAAAAAAAAATCACTATTCAGGGAAATGAGGGACGAAATCATCATAATTTGTTTCCAGTTGAGGAACCCAAAGGACTCAGCCAGAACGGAGTGTATGAGCTGACATGGAGAGGTCGGTTAAGGATTGAAAAGGGGAAGCGTACTTGAAGAGAGAGTCTCAGGACAGTGGGGAGGAACCCAATGCATTAAGACATGCTAAAGTGATGATGGGTAGGAATCTAGTTTAAAAAGGACATGCCACAGCCCAGCTGACATGGCTCAGTGATTGAGCATTGACCTATGAGCCTGGAGGTCACGGTTCGATTCCCAATCGGGGCACATGCCTGGGTTGCAGGCTCGATCCCTAGTGGGCATTGAGGCAGCCGATCAATGATTCTCTCTAATCATTGATGTTTCTGTCTCTCCCTCTCCCTTCCTTTCTGAAATCAATATATATATATACATATATATATATATATTAAAAAGGATACGCCACATGAACACATACTTATATTCATGGGAAGGGATGATACGTGGGCAAAAGCCTGGTCATGAGCAGACAGCTGAATTACCCAGAGGACAGGGGGTATTCTGTGCCCAGAATCACTATCCTCCCCAACAAAGTGATTTCATAGAGTTAAAAAAAAAAAAGTAGACTGGGCATGTGTGAGTTGCTGACCTCCACTGCATAATCCTGAGAAATACGTAATGAGGAAAGACTAGGGAGGCAAGGCAGTGAGGGGCCCAAGAAGGAAAATTCCACCTAATCCCTTTGGTGTTGGGTATTGGAGGCAAGTTACCAAATGCAGACACCAAGGAACTTATGGTCAGCATTTTTCTTTCTACTTGTAAAATTGAAAGTAAAATCAGTCATTTAGTACTTCCACTGAACCAAAGATTTCCTATTGAATGAAATGGACCTAAAATTAGTTCCCAATGAACAATAAGCTCCAAGATACACAATAAAGCATGCTAAAACATTATTTTAATAAGGATCACACACTGAATGGTAGAACCTCATTCTTATGTTTAACTATGAAATAGAGTTCTTACTTGAAAGCATAGATAGATGTTTCCAGAAGGAAACATGGAATTCTATCAAATAGCTAAAGTACTGATGACCTAAATATTATTTTTATGAAAATCACCACATAACCAAATTGGCTAAATGTAAAAATATTGTTTTCAAGTTTAGCTATTGTATTTTAGGGAGAAGTCTCCCAGCATGATACTCACTATCTTGATTTACGTTTCATGTAAAGGTTACAAAGCTATCAAAATTGAACTTAAAAGAGAAATGTATCTATGAATTATAAAGATAATTTATTTTTTATTATTACTTTTTAATAATGAGTGGATCAGATCATATATGAGAAAAATAGGACCTTTTGGAGATGTCTAAAATTATCTGGTCTACCAAAATACCATCAACATTACACTACCCTGTGCCTTACCAGTTCTTTCTGACCCGACCCATCACCAAAAGTGGATCATAATATTTATATTTACATTTAACCCTGCCTGCTGCAGTATAAGTTATGGCTTTAAGATTGCAATAGCCCTGTGAAAATTTATGCATCTTCTCAAATATGCAACTGAGCAAACTTTTTATGTCCACCCCACACCAGTGACATGATAATATCATCCTTCTTTGATCATATCATTGTACCCAGTATTTGCAGGGTATGTTTCTTTCTATTTCATTTAACTCTGCTTGACCCTGTATGAGAAGTTGGTCACTTCTTGGTAAAATTAAGGCACTTATACAGATTTACTCTTTCGGGGCTTTAGGCAATTATGTACCAAATTGAAGGATAAAGACTTATCAACTTCTTAATATTCAGCTCCCACCTAGAAGTTTATGGGGACTTTGGCAGGGTCTACCCTTGAGTTACTGAAATTACCTCCATTTCTAATTGGAGAAATTAAACACAATGTTCACAACAGAACCTGACAAGCACATGATCAATAAATGAATGAATGAGGCAACCTACACAAGGTCTAATTACTGTGCAAGTGGTGAGCGGCCAATCATTAGGAAAATGCATGGCCCAGCAGGACCTTCTGATCTCACTACACTTTTAAACAACAGCCTTAGAGTCCCAGAAGTGATGATCAACAGTAATGGCTACCTTTAACATTGAAAAGGAAGCCTAATGTTACACAGAATTGGAAATCTCTTTGCATGTCATTTTTTTACAGTTCACCCTTCTATGTTCATGGTTTCTACAGAAGTGACAAAAACACGCTGAATTATTAAAAACTAAATTTAGAATCAGGGACAAAAAATAACTCTAGCTGCCAAAGTTGTCCCGTGTACTGATGTGGCCGGGAATGAACATGAGTGCACAGCTGAGCACGTCTTACCTGTGCCTGGAAGGGGACATTTCTCACAGTGGGGGCCCCAGGCCTTGCCCACGCTACAACAGCAGAGCTGCTTGGTGAGGTGAACAGACAGAGGGTGCATGCACTGCCTTCCGGAACTGACAAGTCGGTAACAGGGCCCCTTCTCTTCCGAGATCACAGGGGTATCCGCTGAAGCAGAGAGACAAGGCCCGACGTCACCCAAGAAACCACAAAAACCAGATGGACTTTTCACGTAATAGTAAAAATAACCATAGAGTCTGGATCAGAAACCATACTTCCGAATATATCCTTCTAGATTTAGGACAAAACCTTTCTTCATTTAGAGTCAGTTTACCAAAGGAGTTTTCCAGTTCAGTCCCTTCTTCCATTTTAGAAAAAGCATTAAATCAGGTATGTGAGCCTAAATGTGAAGAGAAACAATTTCACCCAAAATCTACCTGCCCAAATAAACCTCATCACCTATTATCAAAATCACTACAGCGCAGCTGTTTTCTTGTAGGTAGCCATAACGTTCTAGGAAAGAATTTGGTGAGCAACCGGGCACTATGGAAGCTCACAAACTGAACAGAGTTGATGCTGCAAGCCAGCTGTTGTTGCTCTCAGTCACTACAGCGCGGCTGTTTTCTTGTAGGTGGCCATAACGTTCTAGGGAAGAATTTGGTGAGCAACCGGCACTATGGAAGCTCACAAACTGAACATAGTTGATGCTGCAAGCCAGCTGTTGTTGCTCCCTTTGCTTGGAGGACAGTGAGAGCTTGCAGGGCGCCATCAGATTTCACCCTAGGACGGTGAACAGGGGAATGGCAGCAGCAAACCCTCTGACCTGCAGTGCCACCAGGACTCCCGGTCCAGTTGGACAGCAGATCAGAGAAGGAGCAGATGATGGGCTCAACCCTGAAGAAAAACATCGCAAAAGCACACCAGCCTACATTCATCCAATACCTAAATCCTATTCCTAAATCTACTCTAAATTTAGTAGATAAGACTTCTTGAATCTAAGAGTTACACCCTCTGCTGGG